CTGTGGAGGAGGGGCGCGGGGTGGAGACCTGAGGCGTACTCTCACCACGGGGCAGTCCCGGGCGGCACGGCCAGGAGAGTGGGCAGGAGGCCCGCAAATCTTCTTCTCCGATGTCTTCTCTACGCCGCGCTGATGGCTTGGGGGGGGGGATGAGACTGTTGAGCAGGTGGCTCCAAGGTCTCTTTCTCCCATTACTTTGGCTGGGGATACTCGCTCGACCGCGCCTTACCCCTCCTCACCGGCAATTGGGGAAGGGCGTCGGAGCGGGGATCACACACCTCGGCAGAGGACTATGGAGGAGCTTGTAGCTTTCGGTGGCATTTCGGATCCGGTCACGGCTGGCAGGCGTGTCAGCAGTCGGATCCAGGGTCAGCCAGATGTAGATGACATGCAGTTAGCGCGCGCCAAGAGGGTGGCCATGCTTCGAGATGTCGAGGCAACTACAGGTATGTCTTTTGATAAGCGTTGTTCAACTATGCATTTCACCGAGCATGGGATTATTGATATGGCAAACGACTTAGGAGTTACTTTGGGTTCAAATGAAAAAGAGATAGCGAAATCTGTTAATGATCTTTTAAATTTAGAAGCAGAGCGGGCTTCTAAAATAATTCAGAATCTCGTATCAATTAAACCCATGAATAACGAAGACATGAACAATCTAGGAATTGTAGCCCTTGAAAGCATATGTAATAATCTAGGAGTTGTGGCCGCTAAGAAAGTGTTGAGGCGGCTGCAGTTAGCAACCATGAAGCTGTAACTGGTACTCCCTCTGTTCTGAATTACTTGTTTTGAATTTGTCTAGATACGAATGTATCTAGACTCATTTTAGTGCTAGATACCTCCGTATCTAGACAAATCTAAGACAAGTAATTCGGAACGAAGGGAGTAGATGACACTGCTAGGGTCACGAGCTTCATGGCTCGCCGACGGCGAGCTAGGACGTGGCCAGCGGGAGGCAGTTTTGGCTTCTGCCTCGTGCGAAACGAAGTTGCGCGTGCGGGAAAGGTTGTGTGACAAAGGGATGGCGCTGGAGGGCAGGATCTAGCGGTTATGAGCATCCTAATTCTACGGCGCGGAAGGCAAGTTATCCAGCGCTCGGGCTGGTCGGCCGGCGCCTAGCGTTGGCCAACATTTTTTTAATTTGTGAACAAATTTTTAAAATGAAAATATTTTTTGAACTTGTGAACAAATTTTGTAAATAGAAACATTTTAAAAATTTAAATTAATTTTTGCACTTTTTTAATTGCCAAACATTTTTTGAAAATGCTGACAATTTTTAATGAGAACATTTTCTCAAATTCCAAAAACAAATGGAACATGAACATATTTCGAAAATTTCTGAACAATTTTTGAAATTCCAAACACATGTTAAAATGAAACTTTCTGAAAAACAATGAAAAACAAATAATAATAAAAAACTAAAGAAATCAGGTAAAAGAAACAGCCGGAAAAAGAAAATGGAAAACAAGTGAAAACCGAACTGGAGCCTTCTAGAAGGCTTGAAACCGGACTAAATGAGTCGGCTCAACTCGCATTCGCTCGCTTCCCAACCTTCGCAAATCCCCAGCACTTTTACGCAAAATGTGATGTATAATTATTTGCACTCCAGTTCGGCAAATATAGCTCGCAGCAAAAACAAAGCAATATTCCAACACTCAGAGACCAAGGGACCACTACCTACATATAATTCACAGGATATATAATCAAAGGTTTGCAACCTATAACAACTAAAAAGAAACAAGAACAGAGCTGCTAAGTTCAGTCTCCGCGAAAAGCGAGAGCTTTGTTCAAGAACCCTTTTATCTACTTCAGTTTCTTATATATATATTATACGCTGAATAAACATCCTTCCTTTGGCGACCACTGTTATATGGTCCGAACATTCTGAACAAATTGGAATTTTTTTGTTGATGATTAGTTACCACGGCGTCTGGAACAACCGCTGTTAGCCACCGCCGCCTCCTTCACTCGCCCTTCTGCTTTTTTAAACGCCGCTTGGGGCCTGAGGCGGTCGTGCTCCTGCCCACGAACTTGAGGACCTCGTCGATGAGCACCACGGGGAGGGCCACCAGCAGCACCAGGAGCCATTCATTCAGGCTGAGCGGCACAATGCCAAACACTTGCGCGAGGACCGGCACGTAGAGGATGAGGAAGTGCAGCCCGAACGACACCGACATGGCCAGGAGCAGCCACGGGTTGACCCACGGAGGCATCCTCAGCAGGCTCGTGTCCTCAGAGAGGGCGTTGAGCGAGTTGAACATCTCGATCGCCACGAGCACGGACAGCGAAAGCGTCGTCGCCTTCACTTTGCCTGCCTGGAAGTAGTCGCAGGGGTTGTCGTCGAAGGTGAAAGTTCTAGCTCCAGCAGTGAAGGGCGCGGCTGTGAAGTTGTCCCAGGTAGAGCACTGGCCCCAGTTTGAGAGCTGCGAGTAGCTGACAAGTGTGTGGCCGTCTCCAGTGAGATCAATGCCCATGAAAGATCCATGGGTGTACCAGATGACAAAGATGCCAACGGTTGCAACCCCCACGTAAAGGCCAATGACCTGCAAGTTATGTATAGCCGGTGAGAAAAATTAATCTCAAAAAGAAAGAAAGGCAGAGATTTCTACAAGGGATCAAACAGATATGTGGTGTGATCAATTACCAGATAACGGAACAGAATCCAGGGAGTGATCAGTGAGTCGTCGCTCCTCCTTGGTGGTTTCTTCATGATGTCCTTGTCAGGAGGATTGAAACCCAAAGCAGTCGCAGGGGGGCCATCAGTGACCAGATTTACCCACAGAAGTTGAACAGGTATCAACCCCTCAGGAATACCCAAAGCAGAGGTAAGGAAGATCGAGGCAACTTCACCAATGTTTGAGGAAATCATATATCTGCAGCAGTGAAGAAAGACTTTCAGAATACTCAAGCAGCATCATGTTTTCCAACAACTGAATGTAAAATCTAGATAGATGGCACAAGCAGTCCTACTCATGCCCGATTCAGGAACATTAGCTTTAGCAAGTCATATGGTACTGAAATTGCAAGCAATCGCAAAACTGCCAATAAGAAGTGGGAGCAAGGCTCTCAGTGCACAAACCTTATGAAAGCTTTCATGTTGTTGTAAATAGATCTGCCTTCACCAACAGCAGCAACAATGGTACTGAAATTGTCATCAGCTAGTACCATGTCAGAAGCCTCTTTGGCGACCTGAAAAAAAACAATGATTTTTCAGATGCTGCTGCCCAAATTATAAGCTGAACAAAAGCCTAATTTTGCATATATCACTCTTCTCTTAGAACCTCTAAAGTCGTGCTTTACAATCTGACAACCAAATGTTGTTTTACTGGTCCAACTCAAACAGTATTTTGCACCCCCTCTGTAAATTAATATAAGATCGTTTAGATCACTAAAGTAGTGATCTAAACGATCTTACATTAGTTTACAGAGGGAGTAGTTAGCTTAAAAGCAGTAACAGGCGAGGGCTAGGGCTGGTATCAATACATTTCAGAGGTTTCTGAAGTACAAAGGTTGAAAGACAAACAATGGTTTTGAAAATATCAATAGTTTTTGTCAGGAAAACCAATGAAAGAAGTGATTTTAAAGCAGAAAACCTTGAAGACTCTAAAGTGCAAAATGATGGATAATTCCGATATGCTACCTTGTAAAGGGGTTAGCACCTATATTCTCTGCTCTGGATCATGAAATATGTAATATGTGATGGTGGTTCCTAGTTTTCTCTTAATTCTGCAACAGCGCATCTACAGTTTAGTATTTGTGATCAGCCTAGGTATGTTTTGTGAAGCCTGCTAAACTTGTGGTTTGCAATCACGCTCTGGTGTAAGGTTGTACGGTGTGTACAAACTTTTTTCATTTGACATTATAGAAAAATGGGCACTTCCCCTGATTCAAGAGAGAACCAAAAAGGTGGTTCAAAAGCAGTTAACATTGTGTGCATTAAGAATATACCTCAGTGCCAGTGATACCCATTGCTATACCAATGTCAGCAAGTTTTAGAGCAGGGGCATCATTTACTCCATCTCCAGTCATAGCAACAACCTCACCGTCTTCTTTTAACAGTCTCACAATCTCTTGCTTGTGCCTGGGCTCTGCCCTAGAAAACAGAAGGCCACCTTTCCTTCGCAACAGTGTCTTCTTATCCTCAAGTGCCATGAACTCCCTCCCCGTAAAGCTCTTCAAGCTAATGTCTTCATCAGGTGAAAATACACCGATTTCATGGCATATCGCCTCAGCAGTTTCTTTGTTGTCTCCTGTAATCACCATAACACGGATGCCCGCAGCTCTGCAGTCCTCAATAGCATCAAAGACCTCTTCCCTCGGAGGATCCTGTTAAAACATTCAGAATAAAGACTTGTCAGCAATTGCAAGGAATCATATCCAGCAAAGCATACTGACAAATCATGGTCCCCAGCCAAAATATTTTTCTAGATTACAAATTATAAAGTGCAGAGCAGCATTGGTTACAAAACATATCCACAATGAGGAGCAGTCTTACCCTTAGGCCAGCAAGACCAACAAATATCAGGTCAGTTTCAATAGCCGCATAATTGGCTGGATCCAGCAAAAGCTTGTGAGCAGGGTGGTATTCGCCATCATATGTTGCGAATTCACCAAGATCCTCCTTGTATGCAAATCCGAGGCACCGCAGAGCTTTTGTTGACAATTCATGGAGACTAGCCAAAATAGCTTTTCTTGATTTCTCATCTAATGGCACAACTGAACCATCCTGGAGCTGGATATGGCTACTCCTCTCCAGCAAGGTTTCAACAGCTCCCTGCATCAGGACACATCATCATGCACTTAGTGTCACTCCAGCGAACATAAAACAATTGGTGCTATAACGCGGGATAATTTTATTTAACATGTCAGTGGGAAATGGCCGTATAGCAAGAGATACGACATTCACACCTTCACAAGTAAAGTGTTGCCTCCTGATTTGGAGGTGACAATGATTCCCATTGATTTCCTCATACGGTCGAACTCGAGCGTCGCAATCCTTTTGGCAGCATTGCTCCACCATCGGCAGCAGCCTGACAGCAAACAATATCACAAAATTTCTCAGTATATAATTGTCGGTTAACTCAGCAGCACGTATCAGAAAATACCAAAATGGTAAGTTATGTTATGCTAAGCTCGAAAGCATGCATTGATGCTTACCTAATGTCTCAGACGGATCCACCGACAGACCGTTCTTTCCTTCAGGTACACCCATTTTCTCAACCAGGACCTACAAGAAACCAACCAACAAATCAATCATCATGGGAGCCTAAGAATGGAATGTCTTCCAACATCAGTACTGTCTGAATTTGAACTGACACGACCTAAACTCCAGTGATAACTGTATCCTAAACTGTTCAGTTTTGTATCAAGTAAGCACCACCGTATTCTCAAACTAAAATACTGTAAAATTCAAGGAAACTGAGAATAGCATGAACTGTACCAATCCTCACCTTCAAAGCAGCCTCGGTCGGCATTCCGGTGGAAACATACTGGTTTGAAGAATGTGAGACACTGGCATCATTGCACACAGCGGCAACCTTTGCGATCATCTCAAGATTTGCATCCATCCTCCCAGCAGGCCAGTCATAAATTTTCCCATCACGGGGATCATACGAAGTGCCGTCCACCTTGAAGCTCCTCACTTTCCCTGGGGCATCACCGATGGCAACGAGCTTTGAGACTGACATCTGGTTGGTGGTCAGCGTCCCGGTCTTGTCGGAGCAGATCACGGTGGTGCAGCCGAGAGTCTCCACACTGGGCAGCTTCCTGACAAGCGCGTTCTTGGCGGCCATCTTCCTCGTTCCGAGGGCGAGGCAGGTGGTGATCACAGCAGGCAATCCTTCGGGTATGGCGGCGACGGCAAGCGCCACGGCGATCTCAAAGTAGTATGTGCACTTCTCGAACGAGAAGCGTATGTTCCTGGGCACCCATCCGTCGAGCTCGAAGGTCAAGAAGTACTTGACGTTGATGAGCCACACGAGGATGCATATGAGGCCGATGATCTTGGTGAGCGCCTCGCCGAACTCGTTGAGCTTCTTCTTGAGCGGCGTGTCATCGTCCTCCTGCGAGGCCTCGTGGATCTGCGAGTGGATCTTGCCGATCTCGGTGGCCATCCCGGTGTGCACGACGAGGCAGACGGCGGAGCCATTGACGACGGTAGTGCCGGCGAACACCATGCACTCCTTGGCCTGGATGTCGGCGTCCTCGGCGGGCACGGCGTGGGCCGTCTTGTTGACGGAGTTGGTCTCGCCGGTGAGGGAGCCCTGCTCGACGCGGAGCGTGGAGGAGACGAGGCGGAGCACCCGCATGTCGGCGGGCACCTTGTCCCCGACGCGGAGCATCACGACGTCGCCCGGGACGAGGTCGCGGGCAGGGAGGGCGGGCGCCCACTCGCCGTCGCGGAGCACGGCGGCGTGGTCGGACTGGATCTGGCGCAGGGCCTCGAGTGCCTTCTCGGCGTTGGTCTCCTGCCACACCCCGACGGCGGCGTTGACGACGAGGATGAGGAAGATGACGAGCGGCTCGACGAAGGCCGAGAGCGTGAGCGCGCCGGCCGACGAGGAGAGCGCGAGCGCGAAGGAGACGGCGGCGGCGGCGAGGAGGATGCGGACCAGCGTGTCCTCGAACTGCTGCGCCACGAGCTGCAGCACGGAGGGGCCCGGGTGCTCCAGCAGCTCGTTGGGCCCGTGCGCGCGCAGCCGCGCCGCCGCCTCCGACGACGATAGCCCGCGGTCACGGTCCGTCCCGAACCGCTTCTCGCACTCCTCCACCGTCCGCGCCCACGCCGGGAACGGCGCCGCCATCGCCCCCTTCCCCTCCTCCTTCACCGCCGGCGCGTCGTGCCCCGCCTCGCCCATCGCGGACCGCGCCGAGGAAAGGAGTCGCCTTTGACGGAAGGCCCCCTCCGCCGGCGGCGATCTCAGCAATGCGAAATCGAGAGGCGGCCTCGCGGAATCCGCCCCGGGGACGGCGAGGACGCGGTCTTATACCCCGCGCACGCCCACGGATGTCGCTGGCGTCCGGGGCGAGATCTCTTGCTTGGCCTTGGGGCGAGGCGGTTGTTAGCGTGTGGAGCCGGGATTCCCTCCGCCCCGCAACGAACCAATCAACACAACACAGAACCCAGACCCAAGCCCAAACGCAAAGCCGCCGCGCCGCCTCCCCCGGAGGTGCGAACGCCGGAGTTCCCTGTCTCCGGCGGCGGGCGGCGGGTTCGTGAGTCACCGGACGGAGAGGGGAGTGGAGGGGGTGGTTGGGTGAGGGGGGCAGAGGTGGTGGTGGTGGTGGGCAGGTGGGAAGGGCACGCCTGGCGTCCCGCCACGAGTACTTGTAGCCGCAGCAGCAGCACTCGCGCCGCGCAGGCCAGGGGGCGAGGAAGGTGGCAGGAAGCTTCGTGCGGGCGATGGGTGGTAATGGCGGTCGGATCGGCGGTACTAGGTGCGTGCGGGTGTGATGCGATGGGGCGGGGCGGGTGCGGCCACTCTCAACCGCTGCCGGCCAAAAGCGGCACGAGGGGTAGAATCGTCCTGCTCACAGTAATAGCACCAGCACTACCACTGCCACTACTCTGATCCTTGTTCACCATCATCAATGGCGGCATCTGCTCCTCTCCCTGCCTCCGCCATCAATGGCGGTATCCGCTTCCATGCTCTTCTGCGCGGCCGTGCACACGCATGCCAGCCGGACCGACTCCTCGTGCCAAAGGAAATGCATTGATGAGGAAGGCGTTCTCAAGGCGAGGCGTTTCCTCCATCCATCCACGTCGCTGATCTATCCTTCGAACTGACCCCAGAATAATCCTTCGCTTCAGCCTTGACCCGCCCCCTTTTGCGCACTGCCCACCCGGCCCCACCCGCGGCGGCAGCAAGGCCCCAAGCCGGGCCCACAGGGAGGGGGCATCCACGCGAAAGGCGCGAAGGGGCGGCGTGCGGTGCTGCTGCCGCGGCGTGAGCACAAAGGCGCCGCCCCCGCGTTCCGTTTCCTTCCGAGGAATGGCTTTCGCATGCGCCCTCCCACATCATCGTCATCAGGCCAACTTCACCGCGCGACCCAAACGAACGTTCGTTTTGTTCTGTTTTTGTTCTTTTGGGTAGGGATTTGAGATCGCGTCCGAGCCTGTCCTGGAATGCGGTGGCCGTGCGCCCACCACGCGGGCGCATCCTTTTGCCCCATCCTGTCTGTGTCTATTTTAAAAAAAAAGACATTTCAAATGCCAAAGCCTCAGTTCACGGCCTCAGTTCATCACGCCGGCAACATCACCTCCTTCAGGCCTTCGGCGTCGAGCATCTCCTTCTGCTTGGCCTAGAACCAAGCCCTCGTCTTGTCGCTCATCTTCGACAAGTCCACGCTCATGATCGCAAGGGCCACCCCCTTCGCTTTGGTGACGGCATTGGTGGCCTCGATGTCGAGCTGCCTCTGCCTGGCCTTGACGTTGTCGGCCTCGATGTCGAGCTGCCTTTGCCGGGCGGCCTCTTCCATGTCGAGCTGCCTTTGCCGGGCCGCCTCCTCCATGTCTATCTTTCTCTTCTTGGCCGCCTCCTCCATCTCAAGCTTCTGTCTTTGGAGGTCTAGGTATTGCTTCATTTGCTCGTCCTTGCTTTGTCGCTTCTTCTCGTCCCTCACATCCTTATGTGACATCATGCCATGCAAAGTCTCATGCAAGGCCATGGTTGAGGCGTCACGTATGTCGTCCATCTTGGAGTTGGTCTTGCCCCTCGGCCTCTTCAACGCCTCGCCATCCCCACCTCCGGCGAACTTGGCCGTTTTCTTGCCTCTCTTTCTTTGAAGTTCACGGTATTGATCTTTGAACTTAGGGCAATTGTTGATGAGCGTCCAACAATGCGTAAGAGTGAATGGCTTGTCATTGTGCCGGGCCTTGAATGCCTCCGAAGATTGAAATGCCTACACCACATGATCAACAACAAGTGAACATGCAAACATATACACGGCCGAAGTATCATGGCTGTAGCAAGGAAAGGGCTAGAAAGAGAAGAGCATACCATGTCCCCAACGCCGAGACCACTCACGGGTCGTGCTTCAACGCTCTCAAATGCGGCACAATACTTGTTGCACTCTTGTTGGATGAACAACCATCTTTTTTGAATCGAACCGATGCCACGGTTGCTTATAATTTGGTAGGGCTCAAACATCTTCCTTTCATGAAATGTTTTGTGGACTCTCGTCCAAAAAACAATGCCCTTTTGTTGCGCGCCGGTCCTTGGATCTTGCCTAATCTCCATCCAACATTGACAAATCAACTTGTCCTCATCTTGTGTATATGAACCGGTGCGAATGCTCTTCCGCTTCTTTTGTGCTTCCGCTCTTTGGGTGAGCTCGTCTATGAACAATGGAGCGCCACTAATATCAACATCATTGGCTTCATCTTCATCTTCACCTTCGACATAGATGTCGTCGTCTTCATGCCACGAATCACCATGGTCGTAGTCAGCACAGTCGTCGGCCTCCTCATCGGGCACGTACTAGGCGCGATCATCCTGACTTTGGGTCTCCTCGGGGTCGTAGGCACGGCCATGCCCACCCTGGAAGATCACGTCCTCCATGTACTGGTTGTAGAAGGGGTCGTCCACCGTCGACGTTGAGGTTGGCATTCCGTCAAACAACACGCGGGGGGCCGGCATGGTGCCCGTGAACGGTGCACGCGCCTGCTTTCTTTGCATCTCGACGGACGGCCGCCCGCCGCTGCTGGACCCAGGCGTGACGTTGAGGTCGATGACGGCCGCGGGGCGTGGTGTGGACGGCGCGAACAAGCCCACGTCCGACGACGCCGAGAAACGGGTCTGGCCGTCGTGCCTGGGCGGAGGAAAGCTGGGCGACATGGGCGCGGCGCGCGATGTCGGCGACTGGCAGTGCGTAGGCCGGGCGACCGACGAGCCTGTGCTCGCCGGGCCGACGGCCGCTGCATGGAACCCCGCCGGACGGCCCATGCCAAGCATGAGGATGGCGTGCGCTTTGGTGACGAGGTCCTCCTTCTCGTCGGCAGCGGCCTTGCGCCGCGCGGCCTCCAGCTCCTCGCGCTGAGCGGCGAACTTGGCCGCGGCGGCATTGATCTTGACGGCCGCTCTCCGTTCCCTCCTCTTCGCTGATTCCGCGTCCAACTTGACGATCTCCTCCGGCGTGCAATCCGACCGCGGCTTCCTTGGCGCCTTCTTCTTCACCTTTGTGGTCGGGTCGACGGCCAGGCCGCCGGAACTCGGCGGGGCGTCGG